TTTACAGCTTTCCCTCTCGTGTTCCGAGCAGTAGAGATGATGGCTTGTGTAAACCTTCAGAGGGGTGTACTTGCATAACGAATGGGCTATCATGCATTGCTAATTGCTAGAGTAGATATTTGCATATATGAATATGTTTAATGAGGAGTCATAAACATTTGTCTTTGGTTTTAAATCTCAAATAGGGGGAGACAGGAGTAGCACCAGCTATTGAAACAAATCTGAGAATCAAACAGCCCAATTAAGCTCAGATTTTTAAAAAGCCATTAAGATATACCTAAATGAAATGAACTTTAAAGGACTAAAGGCTTCATCTGTTAAGAGCCCTAAATGACAAGTAATTCCAGGGAAATCCTGTTAATTAAAAACCACTGCTCTGTGAAATGACGGCCGTTCCATGTGCAGGTGAAGTGCCGCAGTACCTGGGAGATGCAGTGAGCCTGAGACCAGGTGGCCATCTGCTGAGGGCAGGCGGCTGCTGCTGCTGCCCGGGAACGCGGGGCCTGAAAACATGGGCACCAGCTACAGCACGCGTTTCCTGTGGCTCCATGAAGGATAAGGCATGGGTGGAAATTAACACAATCAAGTAGGAAGTTGCTGGGCTGCCTTGAATCCTCCTTTCTGAGCTGCTGAGGGACGGTCTCTTCGGAGGAAGCAGATGGCTCTGTTAGAATCACGTGCATCTGCGCGTCACGGTTGTAAGCGCTGAGGAGTGGCTGCGAAGGCAGTGAGGCAGTGTGTGAGGGGAGCCAGCCCAGGGAGGGGGGTGCTTCCATGGAGAGCGGTCCCACGCGTGAACACACGTGTGAATTAGTCGGTGGTTGGGAGTTTGGGCACCAATGCTGCCACAGGTGGTGAGGTTCCATTGTCTCCCCTTCCAGAGAGAGGCCCCGTCGCACCCTGTCTTCCTCGCGGTCCGTACAAGAAAGCATGCAGCCCTCGGCTCAAAGCATGCTGATCCTTCACACCAGGTGTAACGGATGCAGACTCGCAGGGCGGCCACACGGGGCGCTGACTTGTGCTCTGACAGCAGGAGGGCAGCCCCTCGGGTGCTCAGGGCAGATCTGGGGTCCCCCCCTGCTGGCTGCACCTCTGCTGTCCAGCCTTCACTTGCAAAGTTTGACCTTACTGTCTTTTATTTCGGTGTCCCTGTTGTCAACAGGCGTGGGTCCTGCTAGGGACACCTGGCCCTGAGGCTGACCACAGCTCCCAGGACATGTCTCCTTGTGCACGCGGACATGCTGTCTGTCTTCTGTAGACACAGATGCAGAGTCACCTAGGATCAATGGACCTGGCAGCGTTACATCCCCTCCATAGCCTCCGAGAACACCTTTTCTGTTCACAGTGGCCTGGAGTAGAGCAGATGGTTTCGTTTGAAGAGTTCGTAGCAGAAACATCTTTGCCTCCTAAATTGTTTACCCATCAAGTTTTATAAGTGCTCCGCAGCTTTAATGGCCTCAGAGATAAAAGGAATGTTCATACACGTGAGCCCCTATAGGTGCTGAGAAAGCCTGAGGCCGGGGTCCAGCCGCTGGCTGGCTGAGCGTCAGAGCTGGAGTCACCTGGGCAGCCGCTCTGACCTCCGGGCCGGTGCCCCGCATGCCCACCTCAGAGGAGGTGCTGTGGGGATGGGCTGAGGGGGTCTATACAGTGCTCAGCAGGCCCGGCCAGAGCCATTCAAACAGAGCTGCTGCCCTTTATCAGAAGCTCAGTCACCAAGAGGGCTCTGAGGATGGGGGGCGGGGCTCTGAGGATGGGGGGCGGGGCTCTGAGGATGGGGGGCGGGGCTCTGAGGATGCGGGGGAGCTCTGAGGGCAGGGGAGTGGGGCTCCTGGGGCAGGGGAGTGGGGCTCTGGGGGCAGGGGAGTGGGGCTCTGGGTGGTTGGCAGCATTGGCCAGTGCTCCCTGGAGGGGTGGAGGGGTGTGGCGGGGTGCCAGCGGGAGGCCCGCACACCCCTGCACTATGTGCAGGTGATCCATCCTGAGCTGTCCTCAGCCTTCCCAGCATCAGAATTGCCTTTTTTCAAAACTGTCATTAGAGGACCCCACCCCAACCCCATGGCCTAACCAACACTTTCTAAGTCGTTCGCACTTCCTTTTACTCTTGGTTTGGAACTTTCGCTTGTTGTGGGTCTTGTTTACCACACCTAGCCAGTCTGTTTCTTTGGAAAACGGACAGATGACAGCCCGGCTGTCTCCTGGGTGGGCGGGTGGGGAGCCATGGCAGTGTTTCAGCGGAGGCGCGGGCCGCGGGCTCCTGCCACCCACCCCGCCTCGGATGCCGTGGGTGCCACAGCTGCAACCTCAAATAGACTTCGCGCCTCCTCCTTCTCCCCCCCCTCCCCCGCCTTAACCCCGCCCCAGGCCCTCAGAGGCCACTCCAATATTTCCAGCATTAAAAGTGGGCACTTGATGAACATTAAACCAGAATGAAGTGCGTGAAGGGAACAGCGCTGTGCTCTGGAGGCCGGCCACGGGGACTGTGCTGTGACCTCGGAGCCAAGCAGAAGGACCGGTCGGGCGCGGGGACGGGCTGGGGCCCCGCTCCAGGGGGCAGGGGCTGGGGCTGGGTCTCCCGGGTTCAGAACAGCAGCCAGAATGGCCCTTGGTTGTGCCTGTTTCACTCCGTGTTTCCATTGCCCTTTCCTCAGATTCAAGGTATTCTGAAGTGTAATTGGATTCTAACTTGTCTTGAAGTCTCTCTGGAATGCAGAGGGCTCTCACTTTGGGCCCTCAGTTTTTAGATGTGAGCCAGGACGTATTCTGTGCATACGGTGGTGGGGTGAGCACTGCTCACAACGTGAGCTGGGTCTCCTGCTTTTCCTCTGAGCGATGGCAGGCAGGCGAGTCTCTGCAGACCCGACTCGGGGCCAGAGGCGCCCCCTGCTGGGACTGGGGGTGCGAGAGGCATGTCCACACATTAGCACATGCGTAAAACAGACAAAACGGAGCTGTTCTCTGTACCTTAGGAGAGACCCTGACGCACTGTTTTCTCGGTTGTGGTCACAGTGGGCAGCGCCAGCTTCGTGCGGTGCCCGAGAGACCGGCCGGTGCACGGCCCGGCTAGGATCCCTTGCTTTGAAGGGTTTTGGGGTTTCCTGCTCCGGTTGACAGTGGCCTTCAAACCCGCGCACACGCCTGGATAAAGATGAAACTCCTCGTCACCTCTGACAGGACCACCCACACTTAGAACACCGGTGCTCAGGGGGCAGTCTATGAGATTGCACCAAACTGCAGTGGGCAGTTTACCCCAAAAGAGGGAGGAAGGGCTGGAGGCAAGAAACGGGCCTGCTTCTCTGGTGTTTTTCATCTGGAAGGCCTGTGTGCCTTTTGGTAGGAAAATAGTCTTGGAGAAGGTGCCCCGGCCCAGCCAGCACACTGGCTCTGTGCTCTATCGTCACTGAGCCGCTCACCAGGGACTCCGGGACAAAGAGAACATCATCCCGTCCCCAGTTCCTTCCTGAACAGTGCTCCGTGCTCAGTGCTCCATGCTCCATGCTCAGTGCTCCGTGCTCAGTGCTCCATGCTCCGTGCTCAGTGCTCCGTGCTCAGTGCTCCGTGCTCAGTGCTCCGTGCTCAGTGCCCTGTGCTCTAGTAAATCTCCCCATGTCTCCACTCTGAAGCCGGGGATGAGTTCCTGGGATCCAGAGGAGTGGAGGGCAGGCCAGACGGACAGAACGAACAGTTGGGGGCACAGTCCTTGCTCTGCAGTCTTGGCTGCTGCTGTGTTTGTTTGCTTGGGGCTTAAGTAATGAGCGAATGAGACGTCTCACTGCCGGCAGGCAGAATAGCGCAGCCTGTGAGGATAGCGCAGCCTGTGAAGATGTGGCCGTGGCCTCCCAGTGGCTGTGGCTTCAGTGGCACACCGCAGTTGCTTAGCAATCCCTCAGTTGTGATCTCAAGGACAATATACGGCTTTTCCTACTTTTCCAAAGAGAGGCAAATTTATTTCCTAGACTTGTGGAATCTAAAGCAGAATGGACCTTAGAGATTGCCGGGAATCACCTCATTTTATAACCAGGGTGGGGCGGGGGAGTTCCGTGACCGGCCCTAAGCAGGAAGCCTTAGGGGGACTCTGCCCACCGCCCGTCCTGGCAGGTCTTTCTTCCAGGCTCACCCAAAAGTCACCGAAGTGACTTCTTAAAACATCCAGAGGAATGTACTGACGATGGGCCTGTGATTGGCTTTTGAAAGGATGGAGGCACACTGAGGGTGTCTGTGGAAGGTGACTGAGAAGGAGTGGGGGCTTTGGGGGCCCAGGGGCTCAGGGGCCTCCGGACCCACTGCTAGCGCCCCGGCCTGCGTGCATTCCTGCTGTAGAGCGCACTCCTACGTGAGGTTTCTTTTGGAATGACTTGTTCTGAAAATTAATATTCTGTAAAGAAACAATTTGGCGGTGCTGATAAGAATGTCATTTTATCATCATCAGAAATCACAGGACTGGAAGGGTTTCTTGTTTTTTGTTTTATCCTTATCATGTAGGAACCCAAGAGTGTGCTGTCATTCGGACCTGGGGCGCAGGGGAGTTGCCTTCGCAGTCTTTCCGGAAGGTCCCCTCTGGTTCTCCCTTCCCGCAGGGTCTGCGGCTGTGGCCAGGCCTCCGCGGTGGGAGTCCGGGCGGCGTGGCTCACCCCCCAGCGTGGTGCCCGCTAGCCTCCGCAGCATGCCCTGGCCTGGGGCCTGCACCCGGGAGCGGAGGTGGACATGGGGCACGGGCGCTGCCACTCGGGAAACCTCCCCGGGAAACGCGCTCGCTGACTGCCGTCCAGCCTCACACGTGGACGCAGCCGCCTCACGCTGTGCCTGCGGTGAGGGGCAGTTCTCAGGACGTGGCAGTGTGTTGCTTTGGGTGCATCACAGGAGAAGGGCTTAAAACGAGCACTTTTCCAAACCAGTGCATCAAACAGACTTATTACTGAAACGTTGCTCGAGTTCAGGTATTTTGTTGGTGAATAACGTGAATGTGCTAAGCACCTGTACGTCTTTGTTCCCTCTTCCAGAATGCTCGAAGATGACCTCAAGCTAAGCAGTGATGAAGAGGAGGGTGAACAGGTAAGCTCCCGCTGGGCATTGTGCTGTTCGGCGTGGCACCGTGATGCCGACCTGGCAGGCCGTCCTGGACGTTGGCTGAGTCATACAAATGCTGAGACATGGGGCTCAGTGATGCTAATGACATTGTTTGGTGCCGTTGGGAACGTCTGTTAAAATATCTTGACCTTAATTTCCCTTAAAACAGTAATTTTGTGCTTTTTTTATGGCACCGAAACCAACAGCAGCTATTTATAAGGAAGCTAGCGGGGTCAGGCTTCAGAGTGAAAGCCTCTGTCTGGAAAGCTGACTGGCCTACTGGCGATCAGGCGTGATCCTAACCTCATCAGCATGCAGCAGGCAGGCTGTAGCATTAAATATTGAGGAGCCTTACGCAGATGTTATTAACATTGAGAAGATGCAAGCGCAGAGGTGAGCTCCAGTGATGAATAAGAAAGCTTCATGCTCAGGATAGCCCGTTTGTCTTAAATGATAAATGTGCTTGAAATGGTCTCCTTTGGTGTTGATTTATCAGCTTCCAGACATTAGTCGGGGCTTTGTAAATACTCTTCTGATCAGTCAGTTAAAGTGAAAAAATACCCACTCAACATTCATCACCGTCATGTCTGTACTCCAGGCAGTGCCTGCGTTTTAAAGCATGTTTGAAAACACTAAAGACAGATTTCCCTACCCTGTTTCCTTTTTCTTGTTACCTGTGCTGCGTTTTGTCAGTTTGGATAAATGTGGTATGTCCAAAAACGACTAAGACAGAGAGGTTTTTCTACGTCATTTTTACGTGCCCTACAAACCACATGTACCGTTCGGTCGCTCTTGGGAGAGGGAATTTTACATAACAGTACCGTGGGCGCGGTGCAGGCGCTGGCGAGACCTGCAGGTGGGAACGATGCACAGAGAGTGTGCAGAGGTGAGAAAACAGTGAAAGGGAACTTCCAGGAAGAGTGTCTGAGCAGAGTGTGGCTAGGAGAGCAGTGAGCGGAGTCTGCTCACCTCGTGAAAGGCGGTGAGGCACCAAAGAAGCCACTTGGCATGAGGTAGAACTTGGTGCCTCTTGAAACTGGATTGGCAAGCAGAGGGAGCCCCAAGTGGAGGGAGGTTAACCGAATCCGGAGGGCCACTCAGGCTTCTTGGAGGCTGACTCGCTGGTTCCAGGCGGAGACACCAGGGCAGTCAGCTGGCCACAACACAGCCACCGCGCTAGACCCAGAGCAGCTCCCGTCTGGGTCCTCATCTGGGTGACGATAAGCAACTGATTTCATCTCTGTGTGTTTTCCCAGGGAGAAGTTCACATAGGTGTGTTGTGGATTCAGTCATATCCATGTGTAGATTATGTAAACTTCACATTGGAAAAGGGATTTACAGGCTATTTCATTCAGCAAGCCTTGTTTAATTCGGAAAGAATTTCCTGAATTGTTTCCAGGAAATATTTCCACTGCAAACTCAATTTTTTAAAAACTAGTTATCAAAGATGTTCTCTAAGACAGCAGGAACTTTGAGTTGACTCATCTTGCTTTATTGCTGACTTCTTTTCCATCTGTAGACATTGATATTATTGTATTGTGATGATAGTGTCAGATCCTTCATTCTTGCATGTAGTCCCTATGTGTGGGCACCTTCCCACCTTTGCATTGAAAGCAGCTGACAGAATGAATGACTTTTATACAGTAATCTCCTCTTTTTAATTAAGGCTTCATACCGTGGTTGTGTGTGGTAGCTTCACGGATTGCTCTAACACTAATTATATTATCTGGCTCTAGCCTATAATTATACCCTGGCCTAATTACAAAATCGTAATTTCCATGCTTCTAAAAAACTCTAATGACATGGTGTGTTTTTTTCTCTCCAAGACCAAAACACGGTTGTACCGGAAAGCGTGGATGGAGCCTGGGCACACGTGCACACGCTGCGTTGCTCTGGCATTGGGAGATGATAAGACAATTAACACAACTGACTCTCAGGCGTACTCAGAGCTTGTCCCTTACTCAAATATTTCAAAAATACTAGTGTATTGTACATCTCCCGGTCTTAGTAAACATAGTGAACGAAAATGCTTCATCTTTTCTTCCTTGATGCCTGGTTGTCCTGTGACTATTGGCCACCAGCCTGGGCAGCCCCTGTGATAAGAGACAGCTGCAGGAGCATCAGCTGAAGTGCCTGCAGGCCCCTCCAGGAGGGGCCTCAGGCCCTAGTGCGTCCTGTCTGGTGTTGCCTTTGTCCTCACTGCCTTGGTGCCTTCAAGGACAAGTAGACAGGCAGTGTAGTTGGTGAGCACGGGCTCAGCATCCCTGCTCCCTGGCTTCAAATCCTTGCTCTCTGACTCAGTAATTCTGCAACCTTGAACCATTGCCTGAACTGCTCTTTGCTGCAGTTACACTGTTTGTAAAATTGGAATTAACTTGAGGTCCCCAAAGCCCGCCACTCCCTCAGAACTGTGCTTCTCTGCTATCTTCATGTCACCAGATCAAATAGGCTTTTTGTTGTTTTCTAGTTAACTTATAATTGAGTAAAGCACACATGGAGGAAAGCACATGTAACCTACAAATACACCTCGATGAGTATTCATAAACCACGCATTACATGTAAACTGCCCGTGTCCAGGTCTCTCAGAGAGCAGTCAGGCCAGAGAGTGTGTGCACATGCAACTCAAATAGGTTGTCCCAAACCACCTTCCAAAGCGGCTGCGCAGCTGACACGCCCACCAGCAATGAAAGAGAATTCCAGTTGCTCCACATCCTCACACTTGTCTGTTAAGCTCATGAAGGATGTTGTTCTTAAGGCTTCTTTCTTGTTATCATCTTTGTCTAGTCTTGGCAGAAGGCCAACATGGCTTGTAAAATGAATTGAGTCGTGTGCCCAGTTCTTCCCCATTTTTTAAGAGATTGTATAACATTAGTGTTAATCACTCCTTAAAAGTTTGTCAGAATTCTTCAATGGAACTTTGTGGGCCTGGAGATTATAAAAATTTGCAAATTCTATTTTCTTTCTAGTTAAAGGGTTATTGGATTTTTTTTCACATTGGGTAGCTCAGTGGTCAGCAAACTCATTAGTCAACAGAGCAGCAAACAGCAGTTTGTGAGCCACATGTGACTCGAGAGCTGCAGTTTGCCGACCACTGGGATAGCTTCTGTGCTCTCCAAATAATCACTTCATTGTGCTAGTAAGTTGTCACGTGTGTAGAATTGTATTCCTTCCTTGTCCTGTTGATGTCTGAGCTATCGTGATACGAGTTTTATTCTTGATACTGACCTTTATTTTTGTCTTCGTCAGTCTTCTTGAATGTTTAGCAGTTTTATTGATCTTTTCAAACTTTTGTTTCATTGATGCTCTCTATCAGTTTTTCTGTTTTCAATCTCATTAATTTCTTATCTTTATTATTTTTCTACTGCTTGCCTTGGGTTCATTTTTGCTCTTTTTTTTTTTCTAGTATCCTGAGAAAGCTGAGATTATTAATTTGAGATTTGTCCTCTTTCCTAATATAAGCATTTAGGGCTGTATATTCATTCTTATCACTGCTGGGGGAACCCTAATCAGAATACGCCCAATGGTCAGGGCCAGTTTGCCTTGTGCAATGTGCAAAGGCAGTGACACAGCAGTTTTACTGTACACAATGCACAGGCCTACCTTTCTATAACCCAAATATTGATATCACTATTTGGCCAGAAGACTCTTTTGTCTAAGTTAGTATAAAGATACTAGATGCCCGGCGCATGAAAATTCGTGCACTCAGGGGACGGGTCCCTCAGCCCGGCCTGTGCCCTCACAGTCTGGGACCCCTCAGGGGATGTCCATCTGCCACCACTGATCGATCGGTCACTATGATATGCACTGGCCACCAGGGAGCGGACGCTCAATGCAGGAGCTGCCCCCTGGTGGTCAGTGCACTCCCCGAGGGATCAGACCTAAGCTGGCAGTCAGACATTCCTCTGGCAGCTGGGGAGCCCTCAAGGGATGTCCAACTGCAGCCTAAGCCTGGGCCTAACCGACAGTCAGACATCCTTAGCACTGTTGAGGACGTGGGAAAGGCTCCTGCCTCTGCCGCTGTGCTCACAGCCTTGCTTGTGGCTGAGCCGAGTTCCCCCTGTGGAGCTCACTGACCACCAGGGGGCCCCTTCATTGAGTGTCTGCCCTCTAGTGGTCAGTGTGCATCATAGTGACCAGTCATTCCTGGTTGTTCTGCCTTTAGGGTCAATTTGCATATTACCCTTTTATTATATAGGATTATTGAATAGGATATTGTTGACCAGCTGGTATGTGGCTGCTTTGTAGGGCTGCTTTAAAGAACTGTTTTAGCAGATGGCTCCTTGTTAGCAATGGCTATTCGGTCTGCAAGGAAGTCTCTCCTGTTTGCCTAGGACTGCTCTCATCTTCTTCCAATGCCTCCTGGCTGCGGACGTACAGCCCTAGCAGAGAAGGAGCTGTGAGGAGCCGTGCCCTACCTGGATGCCACAAGTGTCGAGATGTATTCTCATTGTCATTCAGTTCAGTGAGACTTACTCTTGGGCCTGGGGATTATTGAGAACCATATTGTTTCATTTCTTAAACGTTTAGAGATTTCCTGTCATCTTACTTGTATCAGCTTCTAGTTTGGTTCCATTGTGATCAAAGAACAGAACACGTGCTGTGTCATCTCAGTTCTTGTGACTTTATGGAGTATTTTTTATGCCCAAGATATGGTCTGTGTTGGCATCTGTTTCATGGAAGAACATCTAACCTGCTGCTGTTGGGTGGGGTGTTCTGTAAATACCCATTGTATCCTGCTGTTGACATTGCTGAGTTATTCTATCTCCTTGCTGACTTTCTGTCTAGTCACTCTGTCAGTTGTTGGGAGAGGAGTGTTGAAATCTCCAACTGTAATTGTGGATTTGTCTGTTTCTCTTTTCCATTCTATCAGTTTTTGCTTCACATCTATTGCAGCTCTGTTATTTGGTGCATAACATTGTGCGTTTCTGTGTCTTCTTGGTAAATTGCCCCTTTTATTGTTGGAATGTCCTCTCTTTCTTGGGTAA